GGCGTCTTACTGATTACAAAGGAGCCATTCATCTAACAAATCGTGGAGATTTTAAGCTGTCCAAGTCTCCGCGTGGGAAGTCACTAGAAAATGAATGGACACTCTTTTGCAAGCCCTCATGAGAAGGAAGAAGGGGGAGCCCTAGAAAGACATGATTACGGGAAATGCCCTGGCAGAATCTGAGGATGGCACAACACTGCTCCTGCTGGCTTAGAAGCAATTGTATTGGAATTATATTGGGTTATATTGGGATTATATTGGGGATATGTTGGGGACATATAGGATTATATAGTAATAATGGAAAAGAAAATGGAAACTACTACAATTAAGACTGCCAGCAGCGGTCCGAAGCCACAATCATCCTCTATCATCATATAAATTGTGATCACGACTATAAAGGGGCAGTTCTTAGTTGAGGCAATGTTGGGATAAACTGAGCGACAAGTGGGTAGAGTCAGCTACAGGAATTATAACATGACACAAGCTGCTGGTCAGCTTCTGTGGTCGGAGTCTCTACAAGCCCGTGCGAAAGCCGTAGCAAGGCCAAAAACATCCAAAACCTGCCGACCTCATCCTCGAAAGGTCACAAAGTATTCACATATGCATGAGATCACCAGTCCATCTGAACACATGAACCTAGCAAATATCCTCCGGAGAACTTTTCTTCACATTCCTATACACCACATGCAAGTCGCCATCAATCAATCAGATCACCTATGCTACCCCTGCAGCGCCATTGTACTCCCTGGGAAACTGAACCCCCCACCCAAAACCCTGGACTTGCCCCTACAGGCCCTGGCCTTACGCTGGACAAGGTATGCAGGGCCAGTGCCCAATGTAGGGCCGCTGCCAGGGCTGAGCAAAGCGCATTGTAACTACTCACCTCGGAAGTGGCACTATGGGCCGTGTCTCACGAAGTACTGAAATACTGCTACCCCCCGAACCACCCAGAGGAGTTGATAGGGGAAGACAGGCATCATGTTGCGAAACTCTCATATTCTGCTACATGACCCTAGTAAGCACGTCATCGCCCTGCCAGCAGCGACATGCATGAGAAGGCAGTCCTTTACATCCAAACGTAAAATGTTAGGGAGTGGATTCAGGCATGCAACTTTACCAGGCGGGCCATGTCTCTCAACAGAACGCCAACAAACGTCAGGAATGTCGCAACAAGCTTCTTCTTCTCAATGTCAAATATTAAATGCCCTGACTTGGAGACTCCAAAACCTAACCCTAAGCCCCAAACACTGAACTTACAACACACCACACCTACAACTCCAAACTCTCAACCTTGAGCAGCGGTTGCCCAGGGACAGTCGGCTCAGAAGTGGAGCGCAGGAGGCTTCTCATAACCTGGGGTTGCTGTTAAGGAACTTAATTCAATTTACTGTATTGGGGAACCCTACATTTACTACATATATATATATACACACACATATTATGGTAATTTAATTTAAGTTCCTTAACAGCAACCCAAGGAACTTCCAACGCAGCCGGCCAGCGAACGTTCTTACCGGCTGCAGAGATGACAACGTTGTAGCACACCTGAGAAAAGTGAAAGCTTGAATGGAGGAAAATAGGGGTTATAGAGGGTAATATAACGGTTATGCAGGGTAATGTAAGGGTTATGTAGGGTAATATAAGGGTTAGATAGGGCAATATAAGGGTTAGCTAGGGTAATATACGGGTTATGTAGGGTAATATGAGGGCTTATGTAGGGTAATATGAGGGCTTATGTAGGGTAATATAAGGGTTATGTAGGGTAATATAAGGGTTATGTAGGGTAATATTGGGGTTATGTAGGGTAATATAGGGGTTATACAGGGCAATATAGGGGTTATATAGGGATAATGGAAAAGAAAATGAACATGACTATAGTGGGGTTATATAGGGTTGAAATCTTTAGTACATTGGGGTTATATTGGGATAATGGAAAATGAAATGGAAACTACTATTTAGGGTTTAGGGCTTAGAATATGAATTGAGTTTTGTAAGCCAGGAGCCCAAGGCGAACGGAATCGCAGCCCCTCCCCCAACGAATCTTCACAGATGCAGTTGCAAATTACCAAGGCTAAGCAAGCAAGGAACTGTTTCTGGTTCCTACTCGGGTCTGGCTCAACATGGACTGATGAGGCGACTGCCGCTCAAGCTTTTCCAACTTTGCGCAATTCAAAACCTCCAAACTTCATGAGATCGTGCAGATTGCCACGATTCTGAGCAGCCTGCTGATCTGTTGCAGTTGCCGGTACGCTAAGCAGTCCAAAGTGCGGGGAAAACTGAAGGACTGTCATGTGCGAACCGCCGAAAAGCGCTGCCTCTGGACTCCAAACAAAGTCCTTGGCTGATCTTGGATGTGGCTGGTGCCTCTATGGGGATAGGCGAGGCGTACTGATGAGGCTGTCCGTGTCCTATTCAGCTGTACTTGCTGCAATGAGACGCGCTCTCCGGTACCCTGCTACAATCAGCGACGCTTCGGCATCGCGAGTGTCAGCTCCACTGACAATCTTGAACATCTTGTCCAAAGCCTTCAGAGCCTTCAGCGTGCTGCGGTGCTTGGCACCGGAGTCGTCCGATTCAGGTCAAGTTTTCTCGCTCAGAAGTGATGAGAGTAGATCATCTGCCTCGGTGGAGAAGAATACCCTGTCTTTCCCTAGCATTCTATAGGAGTTATATAGGGGTCATTATAAAGGGTTAATGGAAAAGAAAACGGAAACGACTATAATGGGTCCCTAAACCCTAAACCCATGCTCTGTCATCCCGACAAGCATGAGCATAGACGCATCCTTCTGCGTTTGCTTTAGCTTTGGCAGCGCAAAAAGGCGTGAATGCCTCTTTGAAAATCAACCCTCTATAACCCCATTATAGAAGTTTCCATTTTCTCTTCCATTATCCCTATATAACCCGTATAGAAACCTGATAAGCCCTACAAGAACGCTCCTTGAGCTTGCCCTGCCAACCTATGGGTACTTCCCCAATTTAGGGTCCCGTTGTGGTACCCCCCGAATATTATAGGTGCCGTCATATAACCTATAACCAAAAGAGGCCCATAGTTTTGAGAACAACCTAAACCCTATACCCTAAACCCTATACGCTATACCCAAAACCCTAAACCCTATACCCTAAACCCTATACGCTAAACCCTAAACCCTAAACCCCATACCCTAAACCCTACACCCTCTACCCTAAACCCTCTACCCTAAACCCTAAACCCTAAACCCTCTACCCTAAACCCTAAACCCTCAATCCAGTTGATCCGGGAACACAACCTACCAAGGCCCGGACTCGTAAGTCGGGAAGGGGTACCTCGTCGGCCGGTGGTTCCGCAGTGGCAAGAACCCCTTGCTTTGGGGTCTAAACACCAAGACCTTCCTTGTACCCTTAATTGGGGATATATCATCCCTAATAGTGGGTACTTAGGCCTTAATAGAGGGTAGGAGGAGGGTCTAGGCAAGAATAGTTTCCATTTTCTTTCCCATTATCCCTATATGACCCCAATATATATATACCCTATAATCCCTGTATAAACCCCGAAACCCTGATCCTAAACCGAAACCCAATAATTCTATGATTGGTGGTCTAGGAGATGGGTGAACGTGGTAAAGCCGTAGCTTCGGCGTGGCCAGGTTCCTGTGAACTTCGGGGCTGAAGGTGTAGAGTTGGGGCTCAAGGTTTGGGTTCGAGGTTTAGGGTTTGAGAATAGTTTCCATTTTCTTTTCCATTATCCCTATATGAGCCCAATATACACCCCATAATCCCTATATGGTTTAGGGTTGAAGGCAAGGTTTAAAATTGACGGCTTCGCCACCCTTAGTTGACTTGGGAGGCATGGCCTTCACTGGCAATGGGAGCATGATGCGGAACTTAAAACCTTGACCTCCTATATATCTCCATAGCCTATAACAATAGCTTAGCTTCCATCTTCCTTTGCATGATCCCTGCATGCTTGTACCTGAACCCTGGGTGGTGAAAGGTGAACGGTATCTCAAAGCTACTACTTCGAGTTGACACCATGATCTCACGTGGGGGTTTCTCAAAGTAGGCGGCCCCTCAAGGCCGCTGAAATCAGAGATGTGTGCACGGATAGTTGGGAGTATGGAGGATTTTGTAGGGGATTCTGTCTAAATTTGGAACCATGGGCCCCTAGTATGGGCCGTTAACCCTTGGATCCTTACATACCTCTATCTACCCCAGAATCCCCCTGAAAGGCCTAAGGGCCCATATTAGGGGCCCATACCTCTAACCTGAGAAGTTGATCATAACGGTCCCTTTTCCAGATTCTAACATGATTTCTCTCAACGTGAAGGGGCCCTCTGGGGGCGGCTGGGGGGGGCCATCTCTCGATGCTCTTGGTGAGCAAAAGGCTCAGACGACTCACAAGCTCTAGGACGCTACATAGGTCTCGCATACCCTTCACAATATACAACCGGGTTCTCTCAGTTCAGAATTCCTTGCACGATCCGAGCATGACCCAAGTAGCCTTTAGGTTTGGGGCGTGGGGTTTACCTAAGTAAAGCCTGCCCTAAACCCTAATCCCTGGACCTAATCCCTGGACTTAATCCCTGGACCTAATCCCTGAACCCTAAACCCCTAACCCCTGATTCTTCGAGGATCCTGTGTCAATGCCAGGCCACAAGCTCGATTCCATCACAGTCTCGGCTTTGTCCACCTGACGCTCAATGTCACTGTCCCTCCCTACTATATGGGGATTTAGGATTTTGGGTTTTAGGATTTTGGGCTTAGGATTTTGGGTTTAAGGGTTTTGTGCTTAGGATTTTGGGTTTAAGGGTTTTGGGCTTAGGATTTTGGGTTTAGGAGTCTGAGGTTTAGAGATTCAGGGTCATTATAGGGATATGTGGGCCCCATTGAATAGGATGATGGGGATGTGTAGGGTTTTGAGAAAATGGAGATCCACATGGAAAGTCAATTGGCAAAGATGGAACCGGGGTTTATGTATGTAGTATCATTTTTAATTTGAATGGCTGTTTAGGGCACATATGTGCTAGAGTCATGCTAAAAGGTTGTAGGGGTGATGACTGGTAATTTATCAGGCTTCATCAGCCTTCTACATTTCTGGTGTTTAGGCTCTGCAAGGTTTCAGGGGTGGGGGTACAGTACCATGAAGGCCTTCGGGTACATAGAGACGCGAAGGAGACGAGGATCTTGCCAAGTAGTGCATAGTGAATGTGTGAGGGGCTTCCTGGCTACCTTGGGAACCCTCGGTGCTACATATATATATATATGTATATATATATATATCTGTGCGTGCTTTGAAAAGATTACTGACTTCAAGGTTTTTACGATCGCGTGTGTGCAGTTTTCCTTGCGAGCCTGCACGAAAGAGCGAGCAGTCTTGAGATTTCTTTGCCTCTAATGGCTAATCTTTTTCTAGTTATTGCGTCACGCGTGGACGCTTTCAGTACAAGACTAGCATGAGGGATCTGGAATCCTTCGCACCTTTTCCTTCCGGCTTTCGGTCCACCGAAATCTTGTCTTCAATACTTGAATATTGGTGTAATGTCCCTAAACTCGAAACCCTGAGCGCTAGTTTGCATTTCCTTTTTTGGGGTCCCCTTATTGTATGGAAACCATCATAATATGATCCCAATCAAGCTGCTGCCGCGCGGAGGGCCAACATCTGCGCCCTCAGCGTGCCACAGAGCTTATGGTTTGGATTTCTTGGGGTTTGGCCAGGTAAGGTCAAAATAGGGGTAACCTGAAAGACCACTGAGATGCAATAGAATCATTATGCGATTTGTTGGGCCATCTATAAGGCTATTCATTTTTGGATTATGGATAACTTTCGGGTATTGGCCGACCATTTCCCCTTGGATTCCGGATTCAACTCTTGCGTTGGTGCTCTAGGGCTACATACGCTGGGGGTACACTAGGATCCCCCCTTTTCCTACCATAATCCCTACGTAGCCCCATATGTAGAGTAGCTTCCGTTTCATTATCCATTTGATTCTCCATGTTTGGGGTAACATCCTTAAATCATCTATTTAACCCTAAACCCTAAACCCTAAACCATTATTCGGGCTCCTACATCAAACTCCACTTCTGGGGTCCCGGCTTGACGGTATCGCAGAGGTAGGTGGCCTCGTCGGCCAGGGATGTGTGCGGCTTGGCCTGATACACGGCCTCCCAGCAAAGCGCTTCCCAGGGTTGTTGGGGGCTTCTTACAGCGGGCTTTGGGGGTTCAGGGCTTAACTGACTGGTGGTTAGTAGGGAATAAAAATCATAATCCCTATAATTATAACATATTCCCTTATTCACTACGAGCCTCCAGTAAGTCAAGGGGAGTTTGGGTTTAGGCATGCCTGGACATTGAGGGTTTTGGATCTAGGGTCAGTACATCCTTGCCAGGAGTTGAGGGCTCTGAGGATTGGAACTCGTCTGTTCGTGGGTTCTAGAGGATGTAGTAGGAAGTTCATGAAAGTTAGGTGCGGTGCAAGATTACTGAAGTGTGATGATGATTTTTCTGCGTGGTCGAGAGATCATAGAGATCAGGGGATTGCTGTGGCAACCACGGAGGGTGGTGTAGCGGTTCCCGCACTGTGGAAATAGGTCATGCTGCACTACATGGAAAGGAATGATCGGCCTTGAGCTTCTCGAGCTGGTCCACGACATTGTCGTAAATGGTTTTCCTGCTTCCTCCCAGCTTCTCCACTCCCTTGTACTTCTCCATGTCCTGCCATAGGGCTTTGGGTCAGCAGGCCTGCAACTATGCGTACATACCGCACATTCGGCTCGAAAATACCCAAGATAGGGTTCCGTAGAATGGCGGAACGTCAAAGTGGGACAATGCTTTTGGCGTATGAGGAGGAGCCGTGCTGGGGACCTCTAGTTTTGAACCCGCTGCTTTCACATAGTAAGTATATGGTATATACCTGAACATCTCGTGCTGCAAGGGCTGGTGTGAGTCAGAGAGTTTTCCCCCAACAGGTCCTTGGCACATGCTGGCAGGAAGCCCGTCTCTGTCATGTTTATCATGGTCTCCACCTCGCAGCCTCACTGACATGAAACTTTGAGAGTGCTTCACACTCCCTTTCTGGCCTTGGGCCAACTGGTTGATAATTTTTGGAGGGTAAACGGCCTTGGGTGAAAGGCTTCGTGGGAGGGGTTGTTACGAGGCAAGCAGCACTAGTCCAAACGATGGTGTAATCCGACAAATCCTACAAATGCATGGGGATCAGTGAAAGCATTATGTGACCCGAGGCTTTGATGGTCTTCCTCAACTGAGTAGCCGATCACCAAAAACCACAATCACAACGTTTCTGATACAAGGGTTACCTCGTTAAACTCTTTTATAGGTGATCAAATGTTGGCTGAACAACGTTAGGGGGCGCAGTATGAACCTCAACACCATGAGTCCCTCTCACTTAGTTCAAGTTGTGCCTACGGCGGCACTTGCGCATGAGGCCTCGCTGTGACCCTGACCTGTACAGTATCAATGATACTCCTTATATAGCCCTATATATAGCAGTTTCCATTTCATTTTCCATTTGATTCTCCATTATTCGGGTATATAATCCTCCTTTAAGGTCGAACGCCCTAGGCAGCCCTCCTGTGCCTGGGGTTCTCAAAAAGCCCCTGCCGACCCCCAAGGATGCGTAGGGAGTCTCCATCTGTGGGGACTACATTAAGGTTTAGGGTTTAGGGTTTAGGGTTTGCGAAACTCTTCCATATAACTTTGGAATCTCAGAAACTGCTAGAAGTGGTCTCTGGCGAATGGCAACTCTAACTGGACAAGAGGTCCAGGGTACTGGGCCATGAGCGCCCTTCCTACACATACATGGAATACTACCAAGGCCTCTCTACAATCACAGTAGTCTTTGTAACAGCCCCATTTGGGAGGGTTGGGAGTAATAAAAACCCCTATATAACCTTATATATTGTAGTAGTTTCCATTTATTCCATTATCCCAATATAAACCCGATATAACCCCAATGATTTGACTAGCTTGAGCCAGAGTGAGATGAGCAGCAGATGCTCGAGATATAGTTCTCATACATGACCTCCTGCCGTGCCTCGGTCTCCTCCGTGGCAATATTAGCGTTATATTGGGGTAATATTGGGGTTACATTGGGGTTATATTGGGGTTACATTGGGGTTACATTGGGGTTATATTGGGGTTACATTGGGGTAATATTAGGGTTATATTATGCCATTGCAGGATTAAGGTTGGGGTCCAGGTGTACAGGGCTTCAACTCTCTGGCGCCTAATGGGAATGGCAGTGTGGGCTGAGGATTGTACATGGCCACTAATATACTTCAATATGCTATAAATGTACTATGACTATACTATAACATACTATGACATACTATGATTATACTATAACATACTATAACATACTATGATTATACTATAACATACTATGATTATACTATAACATACTATAACATACTATGATTATACTATAACATACTATGACATACTATAATATAGACTACACGGAGACCTCGAGGGTTTGGGCGCATCCCGCTGTTCTGCGCCAGATTACTCTCAGCAGCCTGGGGCTAAGTTGCGCTACCGTCATCTGGGTTGCTGTTAAGGA